ATATAAATGACCACAAATAGCCAAAACAATCCTCAGCAAAAAAATAAAAACAAAAACAAAAACAAAGTGGAGGTATCATACTCCCAGACTTTAACCTTTATTATAAAGCTACAATAATCAAAACAGCCTGGTATTGGCACAAGAACAGGAATATAGACCAATGGAACACGATAGAGATTCCAGAAGCAAAACCTCAATTTCTCAACTAACTCATCGTCGACAAAGCCTCCACCACCAACCCCTGGGGAGAGGAAAACCTATTCAGTAAATGGTGTTGGGAGAACTGGCTGACCACGTGCAGAAGATTAAAACAAGACCCCTACCTATCACCATACACAAAAATCAACTCTAAAGGGATTAAAGACCTAAACGTAAAACCTCAAACTATAAGAACCTTAGAAAATGCAGGAGACACCCTTATGGAATTGGAACTGGCAACCAATTCCTGATCAAAACCCCAAGTGCCCATGCCGTAAGAGATAATATAAACAAGTGGGACCTCATCAACTGACAAGCTTCTGTAAAGTCAAAGAAACCATCAAGAAAACAGGGAGACAGCCCACACACTGGGAAAAATACTTGCCAACTGTATGTCTGACAAAGGCCTAACATCTAGGATCTACAAGAAACTCAAACATGCCAAAAAGAAAAAACAGTCCCATTACAAAGTGGGCAAAAGATATGAAGACACTTCTCAAAAGAAAACATATGAGCAGCCAACAGATACCTGAAAAAATGCTCAGCCTCACTAGTCATCAAACAAATGCAAATTCAAACTACACTGAGATACACCTAACTCCAGTCAGGATGGCCATCATCAATAATAAAAAACAACAGAGGATGCAGGGAAAAGAGAACACTTCTACACTTTTGTTGGGAGTGTAAACTAATACAACCTCTGTGGAAAACAGTTTGGTGATTCCTAAAAGACCTAAAAAATTGACTTTCCATACAACCCTGCAATCCCCCTACTGGGAATATACCTGGAAGAACTCAAATCTCTCTACGAAAAAGATACCTGCACATGTATATTTATTGCAGCATTGTTCACAATAGCAAAAACATGGACCCAAGGTGCTGCCCATCGAAAGAAGACTGGATTAAAAAAATGTGGTACATATATACTATGGAATATTACGCAGTCATAAAGAAGGACAAAATTATGAACTTCACAGTAATGTGGATGGACTTAGAGTCTATAATACTGAGTGATTTATCATAGAAACAAAGAATTGAGTATCATGTTCTAACTCATAAGTGGACCTTGAAGAATTATCATAATACTATAAAAAAAAGAATTGGCAGTAGAGAGAAACTGCTGGGGGGGAGATGGGATTGGCAGTAATGGGTCTGCTGCGGGAGGGGGAGCACACCTCATCAACAAGGGTACCTGCATAATGAACATTTGTATACCTAACCCTGAATTGTGTCCCACATCTTTAAAATAAAAAGTAAATATACAATGTAAGTCCAAAAGAAGACTCAAAAATTCTAAGAAAGTCATAAAAGCCACATTTATTGACCATAAAGCCATGCAAGTATAACTACATTTTCAAAGAACTTAAAGATCAGTATAAGAACTCCTAAGTAACCTTAAATGAGTGAAAAATGTTTAAATGAAAATTATAAATCTTAAATTGAAAAAAGAAAAGAAACATGCTATCAACATGTGTGCGATGTAGTCAGAAAAAAATTTTATACCCTAAAATGTATTTATTTAAAATTAAGAAAGGTTTAAAATAAAAGAACTAAATTTTAAATTCAAGAATGTAAAAAAAGAAAATCCAAAGAATTCAGGGAAAAAAAAAAAAACGAAGACAGTTAAGACAGAAATTATTAAACAGTTCAAAAATAAGGTTAATTTTTTTAATGAAAATGATTTGAAAATACTTATAAAAGTGACAAACCCTGGCAAATATGATAAGGAGGAAAATGGATAGACAAATATCAGTGATAGAAAAAGAACAGAAACACTCAAAACTGATCCAAGGAGTATTAAATTATTTACCAGGTCAGCATAAACCTGAAAACAAAACCAGTTAACAACAGAATAAAAAAATTACAGGCCAAATCAGTATGACTCAAAAAATACTAAATACAACATTTTCAATGGAACCCAGCAATATATTAGAATACCAAGAACAATTTATGACAGGAATGCAGGGACAGTTCAACATTAGGCAATCTATCAATCTTGTTTCCCAGTTTGGGCAGCTAAGATGAGTCTTTATGCCTTTTCCTGTCTAAACCCTAACAAAATAATAGAAATAAAGTAAAAGGGGTTCAATCCTACGAGGACAATAGGAATAAGGGAGGATATGCTAGTAACTGGAAAGTTTAATAAATATTTAGAAGATGAAAAGACACCAATAATTAATTTAGCAGACTATTATAAGAACCACAGTGTATAAGAGTGAGGAAAAAAAAAAGGGACAAGTGAAGTGCTGATTCTTCCCTCCAAAAAATAAAAACTAACTAAAAAAAACTCCAGAGATTCTTAGGACTAGAAAACGCCTAGTATTAAAGATGTCACACAGAATAGAATTACTCTTAACTCTACTTCTTATCCTAATCTCCTCTTATCCCACTCCATACATACACCCTAATCACATAAACATTACCAAGCTTTTTCCATGAACATCTGCAGTTTATCATTAAAGAAATTAAATGAGAAGCTTAGGACTGAGAAATGAAGGTACAGAAAAAGTGCTGACACAGGCTGAGCACAGTGGTTCACGTTTGTAATCCCAGCACTTTGGGAGGCCAAGGCAAGAGATTGTCTGAGCCCAGGAGTTTGAGACCAACTGGGCAACATAGCGAGAACACGTCTCTACAATAAATCAGGGAGGGAGGAAGGGAGGAAGGAAGGAAGGAAAAAGAGAAGGGTGATGCTGGTAACTAGGAGATTAACATAATGCTTCAACCACCAGGAATGCTTGAAGTTACAAATGTACCCCTAAGGCAGGTAATTCAAAATGTAGTCTATGAATGGTCTGGGAGAATAAAAACCCCCATATATTTGGGTATTCATTAACAAAAGAGCCCACTTTCTTATTTAATCTTCTAAAATAATTTTTCATCAAGCACCACATATAAACAAAGAATTTATAATCAGCCTTTTAATGCCTTTCTCTTAACCATAAACACAACCAAAGACCTCCAGACAAACAAGAAAAGATTCCAGAAAAAAAAACAAGAAACCAGTAAGAAAACAAAAAACAAAATGCCAAGAAAAAAGATAACAGAAACAGGACATGCCCATAATCCCAGCACTTTGGGAGAATCCCTTGATGCCAGGAGTTCAAGACCAGCAACACAGCGAAACCCTGTCTCTACAAAAATAAAAATGAAAAGATAATAGAAAAAAACTTCAAAAAACATTTAATGTGTATTCTAAGAAAGATCTGAGAAGACACTATATATATCAAAACAAAAGGATATAATAAATTAGTATTAATTAGAGAACAGGAAAAAGCTCTGAGAAATTAAGAAATATGACTTCTAGAGCCAGGTGCAGTGGCTCAAGTCAGTAATCCCAGCACTTTGGGAGGCCGAGGTGAGAGGACTGCCTGAGCCCACAGGTTTGAGACACAGCCTGGGCAACTGGCAAGAACTCATCTCTATAAATCAAAAAATTAGCTAGGCATGGTAGCACGCGCCTATAGTTCCAGCTTATTTGGAAGGCTGAGGAGGAAGGATCACCTGGAGCCCAGCAGGTCAACGCTGGGATGGCTGTGAACATGTGTGTCACTGCACTCCAGTCTGGGCAATGGAGTGAGACTCCAACTCAACAACAACAAAAAAATGACTTATAAATGACAAAATTCAATTCAGGAGTTACAAGAGAAAACTGAGGATATATCAAGGAAACAGACACAAGGACAAGTTCCATCATGAAATCCCCCTGAGAATTTCATCACATAGATGTTTTCTGAAGTTCATCTTTTTGAAAGAAGTCTCTCTCCCTCAAGTTTTAAATTTTTTCTGGTTAAGTTTAAACTAAAATTTAAGTAAAATAGATTTTTCCTTAGCAATAAATTGCTTGTAATCAGCTAGAGTTTTACAATTTAACTGTCTTCATTTCTAGAAATTAGAGCTATAAGCCAAGATTACATTAAAGCAGATTAAAATTCAACAATAAAAATGCAATCAAGATGAAAAATTCCATAGTTTATACTTTGTCTCATTAATTTCTTTCTTGTGTGTGTGTGTGTGTGTGTGTGTGTGTGTGTGTGTGTGTTGGAGTCTCACTCTGTGACTCAGACTGGAGTGCAGTGGCCACTCTGCCACCGCAGCCTCCACCTGCTGGGCTCTGGGGATCCCTCCACCTCAGCCTTCCAAGTAACTGGAATTACAGGCACGCACTACCACGCCCGGCTAAATTTTTGATTTATTGTAGAAATGAGGTCTCGCCAAGTTGCCCAGGGGGGGTCTCGAACCTGTGGGCTCAGGCAATCCACGCACCTCGGCCTCCCAAAGCGCTGGGATTACAGGCTGAGCTACCGAGCCCGGCCTGTCTCATTAATTTCAATGCAAATGTTCACGGGTGAAGCTTGGTAGCATTATGTACTCAGGGTGTATGTATGGGGCGGGTAGGAGGAGATTGGGATATGTGATAAAGGTACATGTACATTTTCCACATAAATGTCATCACTGATTCCTTGAAAAGAAGAGCCTATTTCTGTGTTAAAAAAAAGGAATCAGTCACCTATAATTTATTTTTTGCTATTAAAATAACTAAATCTACCATTATTTTAAAAAAACTATAGTCACCCTGCAAAGATCATTATGCATAGCTATGACTACAGCTCTGAAGAATTTTTCCCAACTGTCCTCAGTGCAACTACTACACTTCCAAGTCTTGGTTTTCCTCAGATTAAGAAATAGAAAATGAAGAGGATCTTGGACAATTCCCAAACAAGAATCTGTCCTACAATCCAGATCTGAAAACAAAAATTAGGGCAAATGAATGTAATAAAAATTTTAGTATAAAATCCTACCTGTTTATCTTTCTTTTCTATAACATCTTGCTTTTGCTTGCATTTTTGAGATGTTTCTTTAATATCTGTTGCCTGTAAAATTAAACCAGAGGAGAAAAAAAGTTAGCTAAAAACTGATACAAACCAATTCAAATATTGTTATGTGAGTTAATTCACAATAATTTTCCGTAATTTATTTCAAACCAAATTCATAATTATCACCAAAAATACCAATAGCTACTTGAAAATCTATAAGAGGTTATTCCTACTGATATCAAAAAATAGTTGCAGCAATATGCATGCATATGTTTATCCCTTCACATTAATTTTTCTGTGTAATTGCATCTGATCCTAAAAACAATCCCATAGGATAGTCAGGACAGATATTATTGCTTTTCTACATACGGAAAAAAAAGACAGCTCAAAGTGGCCAAGTAACCTGTATGCATAGCTTAAAAGTGGTAACTAATATCCAAAATCAGGTTTTATTTCAAGTATAGGATTCTCTCTCATACTAAGTGTGTTAGCCCCCTGACATTTTTCATTAACACACAGAACAAGTAAACAACATATTATGAACACACATCCCATATCATTAACACATAAAATATGTAATCCAAGCATAGTGAAGAATGGGGCTAAAAAGAATTACCACCGCAGGCCTAAGACTACTATTCTTTGAAAGCCTTGCTTGCAAGGCTGGCCCTCGGCTGTTGTCTGGGAACTTAGACTTGGGGAGTGTTTCCACCTCTTCCTGATACGAGTGGCTCACTGTGCCTGTCTGTACAAACAATGTGGCTGATCTGAACACCTGCTTTCCTTCTTGGCTTCTAAAAGTTTAGTATGTATTGCCAAATGCCCAGATGCCCAAGCCCCATAAAAACCTTGGGTGCTGAGTTTCTACTACACTTCCCTGGTAGACAGCATTTTGTACATGTCACAATTTGATGACGGAGGAATTAAGCACGTTCTGTGACTTCACTGGCAGAGGACCCTCAGAAGCTTTGTGCCTGGTTTCCCCAGGACTTTGCCCCATGTGCATTTTCCCTTTACTGATTACTTTGTAACCTTTTGCTCTAATAAAATTTAGCTGTGAGATATCCTAGCAAATTACCAAACCTGTGATGGATCCCCAATGCCAAGGAGATAGTAGTTTCTTCCTATAGTGGAATACTAATTTATTGATGCTACTAACACTGATGTATGCTTAAATCACACATGCTAACCATGTAAGAGAAATATTACTATTACTGTGCTCACCTGACTAATGAGGAGAGTGAATTAAGCTCAATGAGACTAAATAACTTGCTCAAAGTCAGGCAGTTAGTTAGTAAATGGCAGAGTGAGGATTTAAAATACAGATCTGTGTGACTCCAAAGCCTATTCCCTGTTCAAAACACTTTAGCACCTCCCTGTAATGTTAAGGGGAAAAAAAAGACATATGTAGGAAAAAAGTAACTACCAAGAACTATATGAACACAAAATGCTATTAACCATTTTAATTCTTGTTGCACAGCTATCAGTGCTTAATAACATTTAAAAAATACGTATATATCAGAGTGTGGCCCTGCGAGCGCTGCTCCCGTTTCTGGGATGGCCCGCATCGCTGTGGGCGAGCTCCTGTTCTTCAGGGTGCAGACAGCCTTGCACCCAAACTGCCTGTGGATCTGGGACGAGACTGTGTACTTGGATGAGCGTGGCATCCCTGGCTGCCCATCCTCACCGAGACAGAGAACAGCTTCCAGATGCTCATGCAGCCCCTGCCAGCTGCCTCACCTGTGGCAACTCTTCCCTAAAGGAAGATACAAAGGCTTGGACTTCAGTCTCTGGCGCGCAGTGTATCACGTTGAGTTCAGCAGCATGGAGGACATATTCATACTCCCGAACAGCTGTTGGAGTGGGTGTCACAGGTTTTGTGATTCCTGACTCCTGCCCAGGCCCAAGTCCTATTGGGTCCAGCAAGGATGTCTTTGCTGTGTTCACCTTCACTGTTTCCTTGTTCTCTGTGCCTCCCACCATGTAGGGGTCCAGGAGGGGAGGGCAGGCAGAGATTGAGCTCTGCTGGGGGCCTGCCTGCTCCCCTCAGCCTCAGCCCTGCTGACTGCCTGGCAGAGGACACCAGGGAGGACCCAGCACCTCCGGCCTGTGCTACACCTGAACCCCTGGCTTTCTCAGTTGGCTGATGGCTCTTGGCCCCCTTTCTCTTCTGTTCCTCACAACAACTAGTGTTTTGTGTCACATACACAGGGGCTGTTCCTGTTCTGTCCCTCACCCCGCGAACCTCTGAGAATAGAGCCTGTTTACCTGTGCCTGGGCCTCTGACCCTGGGCCACCTGTTTCACGTGGTGCTTCATCTGCACACAGACACCCCTGCAGACCTCATCCGCCCATGCAGGTGTAGAGCCAGTTCAAGGATAGGCCTGAAAGGAGCCCATGTCTACTTAGGACCCAGAAGCCCATGGTCGGTGATCGTCAGATCACAGTCCGTGCTGAGCAGGAGGCATGACCAGCAAGCACTGTGGACAAACCCTCGTCTGCCAACCAGCAGGAGAGGTGGGGGTTGGGTCCCCCTTTTATACCTGGGTGTTCCAGGTTGTCTATGGCATGAACCCTATTTGTAATGTTGACTGATTAAATGTATGACAGTTTATCTAACTTGGTGCTGGAAAAAAAAACAGAACAAAATACTTATAGACGATAATAAATTTCATAAACCAGTTGGACATGGTGGCTCATGTCGGTGATCCCAGTACTTTGGGAGCTGGAGGCTAGAGGATTGCCAGAGCCCAGGAATTTGAGACTAGCTAGGTAACTTGGCAAGACTTTGTCTCTACAATAAGTCAAAAAAATTACAGGGCATAGTGGTGCATGCCTACAGTTCCAGCTACTTGAGAGGTTAAGGTGGAAAGATTGTCTGAGCCCAGCAGGCCGAGGCTATGGTAGCTGTAAGCATGTCACTGCACTCCAGCCTGGGCAACAAAGTGAGTCTGACTAAAAAAAATAAATAAATAAAAAATAAATGTCATGAAACAATCTCTGCTAGCTCCAAACTTTTCTCCTCTCACCCATCTTCAAGCACAATGGCAAATATCAAAGGTATATGATATAAATACACCGAAAATGGTTTTCTGATTTCATAAAAAGTCCACTTGTCTAATTACAAAGCACTCTACTTATCTGAGACAAATGAAAATTTATGCCACAGGTTCTTAAGTAGGGGTCAATGCCTTGACTTCAGTGCATCTGTGAATATCCAAAATCACATCTGAAATTTTGGATTTGCCTATACTGCATTATTTTAGAAACACAAATTTAAACTATTCTCAAATAATCTATGGTCCTGATATCCCCCTAAAGGTTAAAGGTCATGATCATAAAAAATTTAAGTTATACTTTTAAAATACAGAGAATATTCTACTCTATTATTTATTCTGAAAAGCATCAGATTTTCTGTATCACCATCCTTTAAGGTGTGTAATTACAAAGCAGATACAATAAATTTGCAGAGGAGGCCAATGTTTCCAAGACTACTACCATGAATCCTCTTATAATTAAAACAATCACATTTCATTTTCCTCTCTTTATATCTTAGATCTTCTATGAAGTAGCAACACTCCTATAAAGTAGCTCTATGGTGGTAGAATTTCTGGTTAAAGAATTTAAGGAGGCCGGGCTCGGTGGCTCAGCCTGTAATCCCGCGCCTTGGGAGGCCGAGGTGAGTGAATTGCTTGAGTCTGAGGGCTCGAGACCCGCCTGAGCAACTTGGTGAGACCTCATCTCTACAATAAATCAAAAAATTAGCCGGGCGTGGTAGCGCGCGCCTGTAGTTCCAGCTACTTGGAAGGCTGAGGTGGAAGGATCACCAGAGCCTAGCGGGCCGAGGTTGCGGTGGCCAGGACCAGTCACTGCACTCCAGTCTGGATGACAGAGTGAGACTCCAACTCAAAAAAAAACAAAAACAAAAACACAACAAAACAAAAAAAAGAATTTAAGGAATAAATGAAAGCTATAAGTAAACCCCAGAAAATAATTTTGAAACAGCTGAAAAATAATTTCTATATTTGCTAAAATAAAATTCAGAAAATTCAGAAGGAAACCCCAAAATACCTTTTCTTTGATTCGAGCCTCCAAATTGTGGCGCTGCTTTTCACTTTCTTCAATTTGACGTGTCAAAGGAATCTGCCCTTCTTTAAGTTTTCTAACCTCTTCCTTCACTTGGTCACGAGCTAGTTTTACTTCTTCATACTCCTGACGAACATTTTCATACTCCTTGCAAATAATTCAAGAAATAAAAGTTAATACACTACTAACTTAAACTAACATATATACCAGAATCAGGTTGTAACCAAATCTAAGAAACGGCTGTTTTCAAACAATTGCTTTTATGTCCCTTTGGCAGGTTTATTAATATAAAATTTGCCCTTTGATAACTTCAGAAATAGTAAATACCAACAAAATGATTTAATAAGAATATCTATCTGTCTATCTATCTATCTATCTATCTTACTCTGTTGCCTCACCAATTCCTGGGTTCAAGTGATCCTCCTGCCTCAGCCTCCCAAGTAGCTGGGACTACAGAACGTGCCACAACACCTGGCTAATTTTTTTTATTTTTTGCAGAGATAAGGTCTATGTTACCCAGGCTGTTCTCAAACTCTGGAATCAACTGTCCCTGCCTTGGTCTTCCTAAGGTGCTGGGATTACAGGCATGAGCTACTGAGCAAGGCCTAATAAGAGTCTTGATACTCACTGAGCATTGATTTTCATTACTAGGCCATGTTATCTGACTTTCATCCTTTTGAGTTTCTGAAACTTATATCCTAATGGTTACTAAAATGATATTTACCTCTAATCTCTCAATAAAGAAAGGATACAGGGATGTATAAAACAGCAAAAGCACCTCAGTTATGAAAGGTAAAAACAAAGAGGAAAACAGAACAAAAGGAATGGGTTAAAGAAAAACAAAAAGAAGCATGTAGCTAGCTAAGGAAAGTGATGTTTATTACATCACAGAAACTAATAAATATTTGCTAAACAAAAATAAGTGGCACTTTATGACAAAAAGGGTGAATAGATAAAAATTAAAAAAGAATAAATATAAGAGTAATACAAAAAAGAAAAATGAAAAAAGACTGAAATCAATCTTAGAAAAAATTAGGGAAAATAAAAAGACTTCAAAAGACAAAGGTAAAGTGGGTGAAACAGTAATAATGGACACAAGAAAAATGAAATTTAAGAAAGCTGTAGAAAGGAAAAAGTTTAAGAATATGAAATTATGGAATAGAATAAAGGGAAAAGAGAAGGTAAGAATGACACCAATATAGCCATGTTATTTTTTTCAATGTAATAATTATTTCCATTCTAACCTATAAAACTTTCTTACCTATTTTGATCCAACTATTATAAATTAATGCATTGAGGGAATTGAGTCTTTAACCCAGATTCTGGTCTTCAATAAAATGTACATCACACAGTGATTAGAAAGAATACAGTAGCCTCAGGAAAATTATGAAACATATGAGTAGAAGACTATAGTTAACATATAACAGATACATCTGTAGCTGAAGCCGGTATTGGTGGCATACTCCAAGTAAATTCTCAGTGACTTATAACTGAGGGTACGCAAAGATTTAATTCTTAAATAACAATCAAAGAACTATCTGTTGAGGACTAAAATCTGGAAGAATTAAGAGCATTAACTTAATTATTATTTATTATACAATAACTAGCACACAGCTAATAAAACAGTAAAAGACAAATGTTACTATGTATAATATATAAAGCAAAAATGAAAAGGCACTTAATTTAAAAACATCATCAGTGCTACATAAAGAATCATCTATTTTTGCTTCTAAAAATTAAGACTTACCACCCATGGTCTTTTTGCTTCAAGCATCTCAATTAAATCTAAATGTCGCTTGCGTTCATAGAACCGCTCCACATCCTGTTTATATCTTTCATTCCTCTGAACCATTTTCTCTAGATATTCAGTTTTTTCTTTGCATGATATCTAAAATATATGCATACTAAACAATTAGTTTGACTGAAAAAATAGGTCAAATCTTTTAACAATGAAAATAATCACAGCAAAATTTCACAGTAAAGAATTCCATAGGAGTTCTTAAGAACTCTGTGAAAGTAACATTTATACTGGAGTCCTGGTCTAGGCTCTTACAATGTATTAGTCATGTGAGTATGAGAAAGTTCTGTCACATCTCTGATCCTGTGCATGTCTAAATATTAGAAAATATCTATTCCATCTACTTCAAGGATAGAAGTAATTCACTTACAGGTGAAAACTCATCAAAAGCAATAAAAATGATATACAAATGAATAGTAGTATTACTATTATCAACATGTTATGAACACTCCTGACTTAGAAATGAGACAGATGGAGACTTCCAGCAAGATGGTGAAGGGGCAGCATGGTCTGTGAGACCCTCTGTGAAGGAGAACACTCATAAAGACCCTAGCTCTCTCCCACGGGCTGCAGCTCCCATCTTCGGCAACCTGCTCTTCACCAGGAGCTCAGCCGCCGCT